GATCTAATACAGAATAATCAACTGGGAATTTAAATGTTCCAATCCATTAAGGTATTCCAGGCATGCTGCAGCTAAACAAAAGAGCGTTGTTGTTTGGTTTTTTTTTTTTAGTTTGCCCTTTTAGAAGTGGGTGACGTGTCTATAAAAGGTTTTTGACAGACAGGGAGAAGACAGGATTTGTTTTATTACCTTTTGTATTGGGCTTTGAATCTGATTTTCAAATAGAAGCACTTATGCTTCACCTGAAAAACATGCAGCCAGTCTTAAATGGTCACTTACCTTCAGGCTTGTGCTTTTATGTAAATATGTTTGGCGTGCCCAGTTTCCCATTAACACAAGGTCACAAATTAAATTTCTTATGTATTTACATAACATCTGAACATGAATTGCACACAACTGCTGATTGCATGAATGTACCTATTCAGGATTCATATGGGCTTTGTGTCTGCATTTGTATGTGAGTGTCAATCTATTCACGGGCATAGGTCGAAGCATTAGATGCTGATACAGGAATTTTCCATATTTCTAAATATCGATGGGTTTTAAGAGGGAATTGTGTCTTGCTCTTTGGTTGTTTTTTTCAAAAAGAAAAAAACTCTTTCAACTTACTCCTCCTTTTTAACACTTTTTTAAATTGTAGTTCAAACTCTACTTTGCCAGTTGTCTTCACAAAGTGTTTTGCCAAAGACAGCACAGAAAAACCTGTGTAGTAGTGCCACTATTGATCCTTAGAGACATTAAGCTTGCTAATGCTGCTGTGAAATAGGTAAAATAGTACATTAATTTTATAGATGGGCAAATGCTTTAATTTGTTTTCCCCTCTCAATTTTTTTCCTAGTAAGGCTGTGAGTCAATAAGTACCATTATCCATGGCTCTGGAGCCTATTAAATAAATATATTTCCTGCACATGTGTGTAGGATCGTTATTTATGTATAACCAGAACATCTGTAAGTGGCAACTAGTTTGGAGATTATTTTATTGCACGTGAATTAAAATAGTCTGCTGCATTTTTCCAAAGTCTCCTCGCTCCTCTGGACGAGGGTCCATGTGGATGCTTCATGATAATGTGTGCAGGGGATACCTGAATAGCACCCACATGGAATTCCTCCTGCCTGCTCCCCTTCCCTCCAGCAGCTCTGGGATGTCCCTGACCAACAGCGCCTCTCCAGACACCTCTGTATCACCAGAAGTTTTGAGCTGAATGAGGAGAAACCTGAATCTCTTCCTCCTCCTCCTCCTCTTGGATGCTCTCGGTGCAGCGTGACTGGGGAAAGTCTCTCTTTGGGAAAGAAATGACAACGTATTTTCCTTGGATGAGGAAAGGTTTGATTATTCCTGAGTCAAGCTGGAGTTCTCCAGAGCTTTTAGCTGAAGGTGGATGTCTTTTAGAACTGTTATTAGGCACATTTTGGCATTTTCATTTCCAGCAGAGGAGAATAACGAGGCAGAAGTACCAGGTTTTGGTTTTCCTTTAGGAGGTGCCCTGTGTGGTGACATGCCGGGTATTTTGGAGCTGAAATTTGAAGAGAACTCGTTTGGCACTTGCAGTATTTTTCCAAAGTCTGATTTTAATCAGCCAAATAACTGAAACCAACTCCTCCCAAGAATCCATCATAAAACCTAGTTTCTTACTCAAGATGTTTGCTTTCTGAGCTAGCTCCTTGGCCAACTTTCCAATGGAAGATTGCTTTTTTTTTTTTTTTTTTTTTCCCATGGGAGCGATTCCCTCGGCATAAGTGAACGCCCAAAGCGAAACGAGGCGTGTGGACCAGCATCTGTCACCAGCCTGCATTTACTGCCTGGGATGGTTTGGGGATGAGGGAAACCAGCAGAGACCCCTCAGTTACTTGTGAGCACCACGTGAGAATTCCCTGGTGTTGGTTGTTGGGGCTCCTGTGGGGCACCCTGGGCTGTGGGGTGGCACAAGGAACTGTGTGGACATTGGGTGGTGGGGCAAACCCAGTGGCAGCTCAGCATCACAGGCCTTTTTCCTACTCCAGAATGAGCAGGGACTGAAATCTCACTATATTTTCCTCAAATATTCTGTCTTTCCCAGTGAGGAGTTGCTTACACTTCTCCTAGACCTTATAAACATGACATATTTAGATGAGAGTGATTTGAATTCTCCTCTACCTCATGTCTCACCATAAAAGCAAACTCCTAATTTCTGGTTGCAGTGTCTTTGCACTGCCAAAGAGTGTTTTAAGGGGCAGAAGTAATGAAGCTGAATCATCAGGTCACAGTTTGGCTTTCTAATCTCAGTTGGACTTTTAGGGGCAGGGCCCTGGAGAGAAGTAGAAAATGTGATGCTTTCAGGGTGTCTAAAAGTAAAATAGTTCAACTGCTTATGAGGAACAGCCCCAATGACTTGATGCCTTCCTGTGGGAGCATTAGGACTGTTACAGGCACTGGTCAAACTGCCTCAGGTTGCCCAGAGAAGCTGTGGCTGCCCTATCCCTGGAAGTGTCCGAGGCCATTGGGGATTGGAGCAACCTGGGATCATGGAAGGTGTCCCTTCCTGGGGTGGGGGGGGAAGTGGACTGAGATGAGCTTTAAGGTCCCTTCCAACTCAAACCATTCTGGGATTCTGTGATTACGTGCTGTGCCTCCAGGAACTTCCCTTGAAGAGGCAAAAATGAAGAAACTGAGAAGCAAAAATGTGTTTTCATCCACCAGGAGCAAAACAACTGTTTCGAAGGTCTCAGCCACTTAACTTCACCCTTCCCTTTTGACAAAGCCTTATTCTTTAAAGGTATTTTTCTGATCCATTGGTTGGACGTGGATGTAGCAGACATCTGGGATTAGGGCTGGCACCACAGGGCAGTCAATTTGGCAGGGAAGTGACGTGGGAGAGAGACAGAGCTGGGCTGCTCTCCCAGCCTTCACCTTCCCGTCCCATAGGAGAAATGCAGGGCTGGTGCCTGCTCATGGTGTGTTGTGTTCCTTTGAACTGGAGACGTGTAGATAAGTCTTCATTGTTGATTAGTGAGAGAAGTGCTCGCTGCATTAGATCAAACTGTGCCCTTGTTTGTGCCCGTGAGCCCCGCGGGGCCGACGTGGGCAGCCCGGCCCCGTAGGGTCACGCTGGTCTTTTGTCGCCTCGAGAGTGTATTGTGTGAATCTGGTGTTTACTGTCTGATTGTATTTTATTCAGGAATCAGTCAAGATGGATCTGTTTAACCAAGCCCAGTCAGGCTTTCACTACAGAGGGGCAGCACCTACGGAGCACGGCAGTGTTTGTGGTCGGCGCTGGGGCCGTTCGTGGTGCAGATTGTACTTTGCTGCCTTTCTGCTAAAGAGCTCCACGAGCTGCAGAACCAGAGGGCACAGCTCCCTGTGGCTAATTCCCTGAAAAAAAACCTCAAATTTTACACATCTCCCTGCCAATGACATACCCTCCCTCTGCCCTGATGTTTTGGTAACACCGAGTGGAAACATGCTCTGTGCGCGCTCCGTTACCTAAAATTCTGGTGATGGTTTTGAAAGGCTGCATAAAAATGACTTGGGTCAATTTAATTCAAACTAAAGGCAGATCTTTAGCGTGACATTTGCTCCTTTTAGTTCTTCCAGGTATTTAGGATCAGTGTACCATACTGGCCCAACAAAGGTCTTAAATATCAGAATATGAATGGTAGGATTTTTTTGCTGATAAAACTCCCATAAAATTCATCCCCACCAGCAAATTTTCGTTATGAGGGTTGGAGCAGTGCTTGCAACACATATTCTAGGGTTAAGGATTTGGCCAGAGGGCAGAGTGGTTGTAGAACACAAAGTCTGCATGGTTTTCAATTAGACAAGAGGTGTAAAGCTGAACTTCATGCAGAGACCTTTGTTGCAAACACACATATTTTCTGCTCTTACACGGATTACAAGTGTGTATTTATCCACATGGGTTATTAAATGCAACTCATTTAATGGCATTTTCCTCCCTTCCAGAGGTCTCCCACACCACATTATTTCTTAGAGGCTTTTAGTTCTCCCTTCTCATCGTACCAACCATCTCGAGCAAGCACAAGTGAGGAGATCCCCACCAGCAGCAAACACGTTGATCTGGCACAAGGATCACATCTGAAGCTTCCTTAGGGTTGTGTCATGGTGTTCTCTGTGTAGTGTGGGTTTTGTAGCCAAACAATAAAATCCCTGTTCTTCCTATTTGGATGTTTATTGTGGAATTTATTAGCAGAAGTTTACATAGCTCCAGCCTCTTTCTGTCAGATTTTAACTGGAGTTTCCAGCCTTCCCAGAGCTCTCAGCTGATGTGCAGTACAAATCCACAGAAATAATTTGCATCTCTGTGGTTCACTGCTTTTGGCCAGACCTAAAATATCTTCAGTTAATTCTAGTCCTACTTAGAAGATAATCAGTTTTGATTCTGTTGCCAGCATTGCTTTGGGGTGCTCCCCCTGCTCAGCTCAGGGCATCAGCTAAATGGGAGTGTGGAACATTCAGCCTTTTTTTGCAGTAAAGCCAAAAAATACTTTATTCCTGTTGATGTAATTTTGCAATGATTGAATGTACTCTTTTTCTCATAAATGCTTCCTAATTTTGTGTCTAACCCTGTTGCATTTTGAAGGATCCCTTGGATAGCTGCAATCAGTTAAAAATCTGACAAGCTCCAACCCTTTTCATTCACTCCAAAACCCTGAGTGCTTTTTCCAGAGGTTAAAATTTGCTAAAATTAAAGTGAAGGAGGAAGATATGCTGGAAGCAGCAGTTCTCCATAAGGGCTAAATACCTGCAGAGCTTGGATTTTATTTGGTGAACACAGTGATCACAGGATGAAGAATCCTTTCTGCTGCAAGAGCTGTGGCACGACTGGCTTAAGTTTTCAGAAAGGCTTTTCCTCTTGGGGGTTCAAATGGGAAACTTTGGGCTGGGTGAGGAAAACAATAACATAAAATCAGTCGTGATTTTGGGGAGGAGACAACAGGAGCAGGACAGCAGTCATTCTCTAAGACCAACTCTTGCTCAGCCTGTGTCTCCATCCCTGTCCCCGCAGCCCCCTGCTCGCCGTCTGCTTCGCTGCCTCCTGCGGAGTGCCAGGAATTGCCCTGCTGACTCTGGGAGTGAACCCTCTCACTGGGGCCCTGGGAGCCTTCAACATCTTCCTCTACACGTGCTGTTACACCCCCATGAAGAGGATGAGCATTGCCAACACGTGGGTGGGAGCTGTGGTTGGGGCCATTCCCCCCGTCATGGGCTGGACCGCGGCTACCGGGAGTCTGGATGCTGGTGAGTAGAAATCCTTTAAATCAGGGTGAGTGGTTGTCAGGATAACTAAAAAAACCTACTCAAAAGGCAGTAAACTTTGTCCTTTATGCTTGTCCACCTGACCAGGCCAGGTTGAAGGGGGCTTGGAGCAACCTGGTCTAGTGGAAGGTGGAACGTGATGAGCTTTAAGGTCTCTTCAACCCAAACCATTCCCTGATCCTGTGATAGTGCTTCAGAAGCAGATAAATTCTGGTAACATTCTCCTTATGGAGGCAAACCTGAGCTGATAAAGCAGCATGTCCTGTTGGATGTGTGTTTAGACCATCTTAAAAAAAAAAAATCTAGAAGGAAAATAGCATCTTATGTGTTCACATGGAAGAAAGTGTTACATAATTTCAGGATTAAAACCATATCCAGTAAGATCCAACTTACAAGGAACTTTCGGCTGGAAAATTCCCAGATGTGTTTATTAGTGTCTTTCCACGAGCCAGAAAATGTCCTGGAAAAATTAATTTATTGGTGTATTTCTTAATTGCCCATTGCTAAACTCTAAGTTATAAATGTTCCTTCCCTCCCCCTTGAAAAGCAAACGAAGATTTCTATTTTAGTAACTGTGAACCATTTTTACATCCCTTGTAAAACACTGATCTCTTCAGCAGCTCAACTCTGACACAATCAGGGCTTGTTTTTCCTGCCAGCTAGAAACTTAAGAATCAAAGTGGCTCCACAAACTTATAGTCTGAAGAAACTAATGAAGTACAATTAATAGGTCTGTTAAGAATTGCTTTAGCACACACTCATACCACAGTGGGGCATATTTAAGGCTTGAATAATACTTTCAACAGCAAGGCTTTTAACCAGAAATTATCAGAATTTATGCAAAATCTGTTCTTTAGGCACTTCCTAATAAAAGTCAGTCTGAGTTGGCTTTGTGTCCACGTGTTCCCATACAGATCTAACCCAGACCTAGGATGAAAGATGGTGTGAGGCATTTTGTGTGCTACTTCTACTTTGGTTGGACTTGATGATCTTAAAGGCCTTTTCCAACTGTAACTATTCCGTAGTTCTGTAGAATTAATTAAAAACACAGAATGTATAATTTTAAGACCTTTATCATTATGGCTGCAGATGTTTAGACCTTGGATCTAACGTTGTTTAGGGATTTCTGTGTTGGTTTTGGCACCACACTGCAGAGTTGATGTCCAGGGATGACTTTCACGTGCCTGTGCTTCACCTGCACAGTGCAGGCTGAAGGAGCTGGAGTGCAGAGCTGCATCTCATCAAAAGCTCTTGCTGTAGAGGCTGCAGTGAAATCCCAGCACGTTAAACTGGCCCTGATTGTCATTATCTTTAATTTGTCAAGTTCCAACTCGCTCCTTGAGACCTGTTTCACAGAGAGCTGTCCCTGTAGGGCAGCAGGGAGCACCACTGGTGTCCCAAGTAAGCTCTTCCTCTCTAATTTACAACTAAATGTGGTTACGTGTCCCTGTGCCAGCTCTGCTGTGGAGGGGATGGTCTCTGGCAGTGATTCCATCAGTGGGAGATGATCACTTGAAACCACCCAAGCAGACTTTACCAGAACATGATAATCTGTGCTGATGTGTAGCCAGTGGGTTCTGGGCACCTAAAACTTCCTGCAGTCACCTCCCAGCCTGTGTCAGGGAGGCCAGGCAGGTTGTTTGATAGAGAAAGAAATGTTATTGAGCTGATACCGGTCTTTGTAGTGAAGCACATCTGGGCAGAGCCCTGAAAACAGGGATTGGAATGTAATATTTTAGTGCATTTCAGTATTAAAAGAAATGGGGGAAAAAACCCAACCCCAAACAAAGAAACAAAAAAAAAAAAAAAAAAAAAAAAAAAAAAAAAAAAAAAAAAAAAAAAAAAAAAAAAAAAAAAAAAAAAAAAAAAAAAAAAAAAAAAAAAAACAAAAAAAAAACACAAACACCTCCAAGGAGAAAAATATAAGAAAAGGATGGCAATGTAGCTATGATTTTCAGTGTTAAGCATTCTATTCCTATGCCTGGCAGCGTCAAATCCATGCAGAGTACAGGGGTGCATCCATGTGCATCCATACTCAACGTGCAGACCTGACTCCTTTCCCCAACCAGCCTGCCCACAGTTGCTGAACTCATTAATAATGTGTAATTAGTGTGGAGACTTAACCTAGTTTTAGGTAGAGGTGTGAAAATGCATTTGCACCTCGTTTAAAAAAAAAAAAAAAAAGATCATTCCACTGGATAACAAAGAGGAATGTGAAGGAAAGGGAGGCAGGAAACTAATGAGAAGGAAGGTTCTCACCACTTAACTGGTGGTTTTTTGAGTTTACATTTTCCTGTGGATTTTCTCTCCTTGTAATCTTCTCACAGCAGCCACATTGTTGTACATGTTGCTGGTTGTAGGAAAAACAATATTTAAGTGTAGCCCTTTCATTACCCTCCGAGGGGGGAGCCAAGTGTTGCACCGTTGTGTGGTGCCCTTGGACAGCTGAGCCTGCTCCCTCCAGGACTTCCTCAAATGCTGTAATTTAGGCAATCATCATGCAATCATAGAATGGTTTGGGTTGGAAGGGACCTTACAGATTATCCAGTTACAACCCCCTGCCATGGGCAGGGACACCTTCCACTATCCCAGGTTGCCCCAAACCCTGTCCAACCTGGCCTTGGACACTTCCAGGGATGGGACAGCCACAGCTTCTCTGGGCAACCTGTGCCAGGGCCTCCCCACCCTCTGAGTAATTTCTTACACTATAATCTTTGGCAGATCTCGTGATGATTCCCAAGAATTCTTGCTTCCACTTCTGCCCCTGATAGGTAACTTTAATTATATGCTCTTAAACCTGATTGAACATCTCACCCCCAACCCTGGATGTTATGCCAAAGTAACTTAGGGGGAACCTCCCATTTCAAAAGCGAAAGATAAGGTTATCTCTGGGAAGATGTGGAATTCTTTGTTGTGGGGTTGGGGGGGGGGGGGGGAGTTTGTGGTTTTTTTTTTTAATGGCAGCTGTTTGAAACTGATGAAAGATCGGGAATGTTAACATTTCCTCGCTGGGGGAGCGAGTGCAGGTGAGACGGTCAGAGGTGCGTGATAAATGTAATTTATCACGTGGATATCACTGCCACGGATCTGGGGTATTTCTGCACAGCTTAACTGCCAGCCTGTGATTTGCAGTAACACGTTTGCTTCCTTGAAAGCAGATTTCACTGCTCCTTCGTGGGGCTATTTGTTTCTGAAAAGATCTGTTTTTCTAGTAAATCGAGACACCCTCAAATTATTTTACAAGGGAAGGACTAGCTGGAAAATAATGAAATTCACTTAAAGCTTTAAGTGAGAGCATAGAGAGAGGAAGAGAGGTACAATTTGGCAGTTGTCCTGTGCTGGCTCATCCTCCTGGCAGGACCCACACTCAGGAAAGCTCCTGGCTGTGCCACGACACTGCTGAGCCTGTGCACAGGGATCATAGGAAGGAACAGAGCTGTTTGGTTTGCTGTGCAAGAGGCACAACGTATACATGCTTTAAATTACCCTTGTGCTGCTAGTCTTCCTCCCCAGACTAATGCTGCAGCTTCCTTGCTAGAGATGTTTGTTGTCCATTTAAAGTTGTTATTTCTAGTTAGCAGGAAAAGTGAATTTGGAGTAAATGTCTCCAAGTGCCACCACCCGTATTCATAGAATCATAAAACAGTTTGGGGTGGAAGGGACCTAAAGGATTATCTCATTCCACCTCCCTGCCATGGGCAGGGACACCTTCCACTCTCCCAGGTTGCTCCAAGCCCCGTCCAACCTGGCCTTGGACAATTCCAGGGATGGGGCAGCTACAGCTTCTCTGGGCAACCTGTGCCAGGGCCTCCCCACCCTGACAGGGAACAATTTCTTTTGTATATCTAGTCTAAATTCTCCTCTCTCAGTTTGAACCCATTACTCCTTGTCCTGTCACTCCAGTTCCTGATGATCAGTCCCTCTCCAGCATTTTTGTAGCCCCTTCAGACGCTGGAAGGTGCTCTGAGGTCTCCGCATAACTTTGCCTTCTCCAGGCTGAGCAGCCCCGACTCTCCCAGCCTGTCTCCATAGGGCAGGTGCTCCAGTCCCCTGACCAACTTTGTGGCCTCCTCTGGACTTGCTCCAGCAGTCCCATTTTATGCTGGGAGCGCCAGAACTTTTGCACTCCTTCCAGCAGCTGAGGGGGGATCGCCGGCGGCGAGCGGGGCGGGTGTCGGGGAGCGGAGCAATGCGGGTGCCACGGAGTTCATCCAAACCACCCAGCAAGATGGAAGCGACAAGCAGGGCTCCTCAGCCTAATGTGCTTATCAGTTAAGGGGATTTACTCGGAGTAGGTGGCGGTGGCGGAGCAGATAAGGGCCCTGGGAGCTCGGCAGACACTGCAGAGCCGTGGTGGCCCAGGAGCCGTGGGTATTACTGCACCAAAGAATGTTTATCTCAAGAGACTGTTTAGTTTATCTC